ATTCATTAGACTGATATGTCTATATTCATAAGACTGATATATCTATATTCATTAGACTGATATGTCTATATTCATAAGACTGATATGTCTATATTCATAAGACTGGGATGTGTATATTCATGAGACTGATATGTCTATATTCATAAGACTGATATATCTATATTCATAAGACTGATATATCTATATTCATTAGACTGATATGTCTATATTCATAAGACTGATATGTCTATATTCATAAGACTGGGATGTGTATATTCATGAGACTGATATGTCTATATTCATAAGACTGATATATCTATATTCATTAGACTGATATATCTATATTCATAAGACTGATATGTCTATATTCATAAGACTGGTATGTGTATATTCATTAGACTGCATGAAATGTCTATATTCATTAGACTGATGTATATCTATTCGATCATTACATTCATATCTGCTTGACTAATATATGTTGATTATGCAATATATTCCTAACTTGCAATTACAGGTATCTGCTATAAGTAAAAATAGAACCTCTTCACGTAACAATTATCTGTGGAATTGAATGTATTCATTATTTCTAGCAGTCTTCTTCAGAATTACATCCTGTATCTGTCTGCGAATCTCCCCCATTCTAAACCAAGCTAAGTAGCAACTATGTGGCAAATAGTGGGGATGTATCATCCTTCATTCAAATGGTTTCATTTATTTCTTAATTCAGCCCTTCTGGTATGGAGTGAAGCGTATTCTACCCTTGAACCAAGGATGGGGAATCTGGGATGTATAGCTTGGAAAAGGTCTAATAGGTCAGAATTGTAGGGACAGGTTGAAGTACAAGTGAATAGGGGGAATGGTGGGAGAATAGTGATGTTAAAACAGTGATCTTTCTTGCATAGCAAGTGGGTGTTGCACCCACTTGAGACTTCAAATTAGGCTTACTCCCACCTGAAAATCATTTTGGTTAGTTTTAGGAAATGAGAATTTTCCCTTTATAATAAGAATTAAATCTTTCCAAATATTGCAGAATGTTCAACATTTGAGATATTTTTTAATGATTTATTTTCCCTTTAAATCACAATTATAATCTCTTTTTATATTTCTGCTTATCTTCTCCAATAATCAATAGATGACAAGGTCAGTTTCAGAACACGATTTAATTGGCACAGATCTAACTCGAAGATCAATACGTCTAGAACGTAAATCAATAGGGTGGAAGAATGTCAGTATTGCGCAGTAGGTACATCTAAGAACACGTGGCTAGCTCTTTAGATGTCTATTGAAGTTATCTTGGCCCGTTGTTTTTACATAACTAGGAGCATACAGTGAAATTTGTTAAGGTTGACATGAGGCTTAGGTTGAGTAAGATCAGACTAGATCAGGAGTTTAGAACTTTGTAGTTGAATGATCTCCCGGGATTTTTCTGAGATGAGTGCAAAATTCTTTTCTTTTTTTCTATATTTATATTTATTCACAGTTAAATTTTGTTTACAGTATAATTGATTTCTTAGTCACTTATATTTAATAAATATTAAGACTTAAAAATAAGAAATGGTACAGGGGGCAGCGATATTATATGAAAAATAAAAATAGCTTAAAAAGAAAAAAATTCTTATTAAAACAGTTATACTCAGTCAGTCAAAACATCTATAATCTTTTCTTAAATGCCGCCTTTATGCAAATATTAATGATGACTGTCAAAATGATAGAGGGGTATTTTAAATCATAGAATGCAATGTGTAAGATGTTCTTGTTAAAACAAGTGTTCATACTTTAAATGGTGAGTAATAGAGGTGTTCATTGGAAACTAAGGAAAGCTTTACTGTAACCAACTATTCACTGATATGAGTTTACTGTATAAGGTAACATAGGTAAAGGTTATACTGTTATATTTTAAACATACCTTGATATTAATGCTATAGATACCACCTGTACTAGGTTTCAGCATTCCGCACCTTTGAAGAGATGAAGCACTTAGCACAATGTGAAACAAAAGCAAAACTAATTTGGGAAGGTGTTGATCTGTCCAAGGAAAAACGGCAAATCAGAATCAATCAAGCCATTATATATTAATCCTAGTTTCTTTGATGTTAAGCAATCTCTCCATGTTATTGCTAATTTTGGAAAAGTACTAATTATTAATTATTAATTATTTTTTTGGGATTTGGTGTGATGTGGGATATCTTGCTGTGTAACTATTTGCCACGACTGTATACCCCAAAGTATTCATACACTGGTGAATGGTGAGCCCACATGGCCTAAATATGACTGCTCAATAACATGTTACAAATTAAGTTTTGTATGACGGAGGGGAGGAGTCAGAGGCATAAGTTTTCAAACATTGAACTTTTGATGAATTCCCTTACATCTTTATAGATGTAAATACCACTTACAATAAATATTTATGAGAACAATACTCTCAACATCATTATATACACACTTCGTCAGCTTCATTCAAAACATATGTAAAAAGTCATTTCTCACTGTCTGAAATTGTGCTTCAGATCTGGTATATTTAACGGTATCAGTTTGCTTGTTCCTTCACTGATTTCCAATTACTGCCAATTTACTCTCAGACATTCCTTCTGTGTATGCCTCAGGGTCGATTACATCGCTTTCATGTCTTCATTTAGGGACACATATGTCACTTATAGATTTAAAGCTTCAATTTGTTAGGAGGTATAAGTCTTATTTTTCAATGATTCATTAAATGTTATTTTGTTGGCTCTACCAACATATTGAGGGATAAGGTCAGTACATCAATGTAAGCTTAGTTAATTACACTTTGGGGAAGAGTAAAAGCCTATTACATTTTGTAAGCTTACTTCAATGCATGGAGGGGGACATTGAAATAATGACATGTTCCCTAAAATAAACCATGAAGCCAGCTATGAAATTCATCCATTACCTCTCTGATTGAGAATTCCTGATTACCAAGAATATCATCATTTGATATGTGGATGTACGTAATGACTGGGTAATCTTGCAGAACAATCCCATGTAAGATGACTGGAGGCTGGATGAAATAGGAATTTGTATGATATCACGTCATAGCTCAATTTAGCTTATCCAGTTCAATTCCTTACAAGTTTGTCATATATTGTCTTGGAATTTCAACTTGTTTAAACAGCATTCATCTTCTATATAAGCACTCCGTAGACACAACTTTGGGTAGCTTGGGCCTTGAGGAAAATTAAAAGAAGTTGTCAGTATTTGAAAGGATTGATTAATAGAGAAAGAAATACGAGATGTCTGTCCAAGAGTGTTCCTGATTTATCCAGTGACACACTTCTGTTTGAATTAATCTAAAAATACGGTACCTCTTAAAAGTGTTCAACTTTGGATTTGTTCCACATATAGAGGTTCATTTAACATTAAGTCAGTCTGAAAAGTGTTCCACTAATAGAGATGTTCTATTTGGAGAGATGTTCCACTTTACAGGTTTCCATTATGCTTGACATAGCATGCCTAGACTTCCTTAGTTCATGTTCAATCGATGCTCCATTTATTGGGTTTGATTTAACATGTAGAAAGAAGATTTTAATTACTCTTTTCTATTCATTGGGCAATTTTCTGATTGAATTATGAGCCAGGAAATCAGTGTGTACTTTTATAAGCAGAGATTTATATTAAACCTTATCAATACTCGTAATTGTCTCTTAAAATCATATCGTTCAAGTGTTATTTTCATAAGACGTAATAATGACGTCCCTTTTGAATTAATTTGTGCCCAAACCATAGTAATCGACAAAGGAATTATTTCACAGAGTTAGTGGTATATCATTGATTTAATTATAGTCTCACCATATCAATAACATGGTTTAACCAGCAACAATAACTGCTGAGCAATTAATAATTTCAGAATTCCATTAATTTGAATTTGCCGGAAATATATAAATTGTTGTATGGAGGTTGTTTCTGGTTAAGTGATCCTTGATTTCCATAAGTGTAATAAAATATATTAATTGTCATAATGACCTTTATTTCTTGCCATTTGTTGTTTATTTCCATTAGTATAATAAAATATATAAATCATCATTATGACTTTTATATTTCTTGTTGGATAATGTTCATCTCCATGTGTGTTATAAGATGTATAAATTGTCATTATGACTGCTATTTTTGTTTAAATGATCCTTAATTTCCATAAGTTTAATAATAGATAGACTATATAAATTGACATTATGACTTATTTCCTTGATTTTCTCTTGTATATTAAGCTTGAATTCAATCTCCTGTGCTTGTTTCTTGTTTTTACAATTATGATTGTATCATGGGATTCAAGTCATTACAGCTTTACATGGGGGAAAAGGGATCTGTGTAAAGATCAGATTCACCCATTCTACTCTACATCGGGGTTATAAGGTGAGAGTACATCACACAAAGAACTGGAACCAATTTAGAAAATTAGAACGAATCGATTTATCCTAATCCTGAATTGAAGGCCATTCTTTAAGTTGAAAAATTAAAAAAAAAATTTCTAAATTGATGCATTTTCTAATCGTAAGGTTAATGCCAAGAGCAATGATTTTGTGACTTAAATTCTAATGCACATTACTGTATTAATACTTATTGACAAAATCTGTATTTCCAAATAACAAGCTCTTTTCTTTCTTATCATCCTATTGATTCCCTTGAAATATGAACACTTGCCAATATGATACTTTTTACCAGTTTCATTGTTTGCTGAATTTTCCATATTAATGTATGTTTTAAGTACAGTAAAACCTGTCGAAGGGGAACACCTTTAGTACTTGTAAAAAATGTTCTACTTGGGAGGTGTTCCACTTAAAGAGGTTCATTTAAGTCAGTTAGACTTGGTACTTTGAAAAGTGTTCCCCTTACTCTGGTGTTCCACTTATAGAGGTTCATTTAAGCCTTAATGATTTGAAAAATATTTCACTTACAGTGGTGTTTTACTTACATAGATGTTCTACTTGTTGAGGTGTTCCACTAGCAGAGGTGTTCCACTTTACAGGCTTCACTGTAGTACATTTTGTAATTTCTATGTGTTTCAGGAGATGAGGTGCAGAACAAGAAAGCTCTCCAGATGATTATACAAAAGATAACAGAGGACCCTCAGAGTGGTTCTTGTCCTAACATAAGCTATACAGACTTTCATGGCCCTGTGGCCAGCGCCAACCCTACAGGCTCTCCCTTCGCTGGAGCAGTACCGCAGAGAATGGAGGTCGGAGGTCAAGGGTACAGCCCTGGTCAGAACTTTCCCGGTGGTTTACTAGGTGCAGGAGGTAACTTTACCAATGGAGGAGGCCCGAATAACATCGGCAGTGGAATAAATAACTTGAATCTCAACTCTTCCATTGGTACCAATGGCCGAGGTATTGCCATGCCTGGCCTGGAAAGTCTACGCACCACACTACGTGCAAGTGGTTTCTCTGATATGGCGATTGAGGAGATCTGCCAAGCTATGTGCACTCTCTCCAGCTATAACTTACTAGGTATGTTAGGCATGGGGATGGGTCAAGGTGGGGCAGGACCAAGTACCTTTAATCTGGGGGGTGGCACAGGCCTTGGGGGCCTGAACCTGGGGGGTACTAACAGTTTGTTTGGTAACAATGGGAGTCTATTTGGGCCTGTAGGGAGTGGGGGTAACCATGGGGCAGGGGATGGAAGCTTGTTCACGGGGGCAACCAACATGGGAGGTATGGCCAATATGGCTGCCCAACAACCCCAGCAACAACAAGGGGCAGGGGACAACCATAGCTCCTCCCTGTTTAGCGATTCATATAGTACCCCTGGTTATAACATGGGGCACCAGGGTATGGAACATACTGTCCAGCAACAACAGGGCGGGGATGAAAAGGGCGACCCTACTAAGAAAGAAATGGAGGTACATGAGAATATTGTGGGTGCCATCCTTGGACCTGGGGGTAGGGACATTGTGGAACTTCAACAGAACACACGAACAACCATCATAGTCTCCAAAAAGGGTGTCTATGCCCCAAATTCACGCAACCGCATCGTAACCATCAGTGGTAACCCCCAGAATATTGCCAAGGCTCAGTATATGATACAATTGAGAATCAGCCAGGAAGAGTCAAAAAGAGCTCGCCAGGCTCCTAGATAAGTCAACAAGGGAGGGGGTAGGGGCTGGGGGTAACAGGCTTGTGAAGTCTGCACCCCTAGTCAATGGACAGCAGTCGCATACATGCACCAGTTAATGCCTCATCATACCCTTGAAAATCATAAACTGTCTTTATTATTTCTTGGTTGGGAATTTTTTATTAGAGTAAATAATTGTTCGAATTTGGAACAACAGTATCATATAACTTGTCTGGCTAAATCTTTTGAATACAAATCAATTTTTGATATTTTCTGCTGCTTAATCTGGAATTCAATGGATAATGGACATTCTCATTAATATAATTGTCTTGAATAATATTAGATTATATTTAGCTGAGTCCTGTTGCAGAATGAATCCATTTGGACTGACCTTGTGATATTTCAGCCATCAAAAATAATTATTAGAACCGCAATACCATATGATTTAATAGGAACGAGTTAATGTCTTTGATATAAAACATTGCTGGGGGATACCACTGATATTTATTAATATTGCAAATTGTCTGAGAGGATTGGGAATTGTAAGTAGGGTATTTTGTAATGAGTTTTGACACTAAGTAATCAATTGCCCAGTGGTCAGGTGTAGATGCATACAACAAATTAACACACATCTCTTGGTGTTCTCCCTGGGGTTGTTGAGGTATTGATTGGTGGAAGGGTTGACTTCAATGTATGCTAACTGAATGCTTATACTACTAGGGGTAAATATATACTGGAGACCTATTGGTCTTGAACTTTTTTGGGGGACTTTTTGGAATATACATATGTCATTGGGGCAATGTAGGTCATTAGAGGAATCTAGAGGTCATTGGAGTGATACTAGGTCATGAGGGTGTTCTAGGTCATTTGGGTGATATAGAATATCGGATTGATCTTGGTCATGAGGGTATTCTAGGTCATTTGGGTGATATAGAATATCGGATTGATCTAGGTCATGAGGGTGTTCTAGGTCATTTTGGGTGATATAGATCATTGAATTGATCTAGGTCATGAAGGTATTCCAGGTCATTTTGGTGATATAGATCATTGATTGATCTAGGTCATGAAGGTATTCTAGGTCATTGGGGTGATATAGATCATTGAATTGATCTAGGTCATGAGGGTATTCTAGGGTATTGGGATCTAGATCAAAGGGAAACGAAGTTAATTAAAGATCCCTTGCACAAGGCTCCATATGCTTAAGAGTTGTCATGAACTTTTCTATTCTGGGGAACGGTGCAAAGTAATTATGCATGGTATGAAATTGTACTAAACACAAGAGAATTAGAATCAAGCTGAGGTCTTGTTGCTGGTATACAATTTATATTCCTCACATCTCTCCAGAAGTGATGACTTTGTAACCTCTTGCATGGGATTATATAACACTGGCTGATGCTGCCAGTAGAATAATTGAATACATTAATTAATAACTGAACACATTACGATTCACCTCTACATGAAAGGTATTTCAAAAGGGGGAAATCTAAGTGTGCCTAGGCTAATGGAAGTCTAATGTAATCTATGATTAAATGTTATATGTTCTTCATAGGAACGGTTATATTAGTAGAGATATGTTAAAGACATAGAGTCTAGTTTTAAACAGCCATATATATAAAGGCTTTGTTATTAGGGGTTTATAGGGTCCTTTAAAGGATTATAGGTCCTCCTAGAGGATGAAAAGTTCTTGTTGGGAATTTTTGTCCCTAGGAGAGCCTGCAACGTGCAGTAAGTCATCCAACACAGAAATAATGGCTTTGCATCATTCATATGTACAAACTCATGATAAAAGTAAATACATTTCATTTTAATTTATTTGGCATTTTAACAAGAACAACAACAGAAAGGAGAAATATAACATATAACAATACATATTTGAATCTAAGTCATATGTAGTATATATTCATTGACAAATGATGTCATGAATTAAAAAATCTCAAATTGAAGAATGAATGTAGATAGATACAACCCACTTTAGAGTTCTTAGATGTACGTTCATGTATCTGACGTAGTAAAAACTAAGAATGCTGCTTATAAGTGTTATCGATTGGGGACTAATTTTACGTAGAATCGATCATTTATGGATTCCCGAAACTAAGAATGGATCAATAACTGATTACTAAGTAGAATCTACAGACTCACTGTTACCTAATATGTTTGTACTTTATAGCTGTACAGTTACCAATTTAGCACTAAAGTCATTCTGAACTTCCAAGGTCTATAACGATCACATGACAATAATTATTCCACTACAATTACTTTAGCTCAACTTACACTGTAATTTGAATCAAAGACTTTAATCGGAAAAAAATGATTGCATCGTACTTTTAGAAAACGATGCACACAGTTTTGTACAGTTCATATATCGATGATTGGTTCAGTGTTTTAGTGGTAGATTGTATACAGTGTATTGCTACCTAGTACTTGTATTTTATTTGACACTGTATATTATGCCTCGCCTCTGTCCATTGCCAAGTCACTGTACAGTGAACTCTATTTAGCTATGTAAAAATCATTGCCAGAATTATACATAATCGTCTGTCTCCAAATTGATGTAAAATATTTGACAAATTCAGTCTTGCATGACACACTCTAACTACGCCATCTTTTTGTTTTATCATTTTACCCACCTTTTATCATCAAAATTGGAACATCATGATTATATAGAATTCTAGAATCGATGGTTGGTTATACATTAAATGTATGTTGATTTGTAATGTGGGTAATGTTTGGGTTTCAGAGTTAAAACAATCATTTGTGTAGAATATGGCCAGAAGTTCATGTATCATTTCTTGGCTTCAAATTGTTACACAATTATTTATTTTGTTTCATGTGCATCCATGTTAACCCTTTTCATCATAGCCCAGTGATAAACTGGAACGCTGTCCCAATGATAAACTGGAACGCTGTCCCAGTGATAAACTGGAACGCTGTCCCAGTGATAAACTAGAATGCTGTCCCAGTGATTTTTTGCCTTATGGACACTTAAAATAATTCGAGGGTTTTGATGTTTTTCATCAAAAGGACATTTCATATCATGTATGGTTTTTTGGTTATATTTGGAACTCAGAATTAATGCCACACTGTTTGAGTAAAAATATTCACCATTTCATCGCAAAATCATTATTCAATAAACTTGCTCAATGGATGATAATTTAGTGACGTGTGAGCAATATTTCTACTTCCTGGTGTGAACCTACAAGATCATACGTAACATGGATGCATACTTTGGCATTGTACATGTGCATAGCGCACGCTTAGCTCATATATACTTACTAGACATTTCTGATGTGGTCATGGAAAACCATCATTCATTACTGCTGCTATTAAACCTGCCCAATAAGCCATAACTCTTTAGTCATTCATCCTCACACATGTGTGCTACAGCACTGAATATTTGCAGTACGTACTACAGGGCTATGGCGTATCTAGGCAGGTTTCACATAGGCATTCGCTGAGGCGGCATTTTCACATTTACGATCATTCAAAATTTCATGAATTGCAGATATCCTTGAATTACATTTGCATCCATCTTCAGATTTCCTCTTCCATTCATATTACATAGGTAGCTGCACGTATGCAAAGTGCAGTGCTTATGTAAGGTGAAATGTTCATCCTTCAGTTGCTTTCAACATTAACATTGACATTCATGACCCTCATGCCCCACCCACTTTACCCCCTAGGCCGGCCCCTAGTAATGCCCAACACCATATTTGGATAAAATGTAATTCAGGAATATATTCAATTTTAAAATTGTAAATATAATTTTTAATTCAAACAAATTTTGTGCATAATTAGAACAAATTGAACATATTAAAATCTTCAGATTCTTTTCAATGACCACTCAGATATTTATAATTAAGAGTTATGTATTCAATGTAATATATATAAAAAACGGTTGTGTAAAAAAGATGGTAAAATATTTTGAAATATGCACACAGTCTATTGAGACTGAGTGCAAGATATTGTTATAACCAGTGAGAGAGGTTGTTATGTTGATGTAAACAGCACACAATAAAGTTGATTGAAGTACAACTGAAATTCAACGTTTTTAGTCTTAAATTTTGACATTGATATTGAAAAAGCTCACTTTGAAAATTGAAAATATTTATTTAAGATTGTTTGCAGAATTATTCCTGAAATCCCCAAATATTTCAATCCTCCCCTTCTCCCTGTATAATTTTCCAACCAATCATGATTAATTTTATATACTGTTGCCATGGTGATCCATTGCATTACCAGAAGTTTTCTGTATCAGCTCTCAGGCCCGATCATGCCACACTCATCACCATATATGGACATATGACATCATCACTTCTGTATGACATCATTTCATCTCAATCAGGTATGTTTTCTGACTTGACTTGGGTAACATTACAAATGTCATTTATTTTTGTAAATTGTTCATTTTTTAATGTTAACTCAAGTTTTATGTAAAACATGTTTAAACTCACTGTGTAATTACAGTAAAATCTGTAATCTGAACTCTGTTGGGATCAGTTTGATTGGTATTCACATTTTGAAGTTTTAAATATGGCAATCTTTGCAGACTAAAAATGAGATTGAAAAATGCATTTAGTACATTTAGAAGTGCTCAGGTTAGGTGTTCAGTTATTCAGGTTTTACTGTATATTTTAGTTTTTGAATATGCTGTTTATTTGACTAATAACTCAAAACATATTTCTGGCATTGTTTCTATTAAAACCACTTCTTCATTTGCTTCAATTGTTTATAAAAAGCAGAATTTCTATATTTAGGTGCTATCCTGCCATTCCTTGGTGACTATGTAGTGGTGCCCTCTAGTGGTGACCCCCTGGGTGTGAGCGCGTACCGAGACCCGTTCCTCACCCTCCTACTATAGTTTACAACAACATATGGTGGCTGGACATACACTCAGGGACTTATAGGGGTAAGGTTCCAAAAGTGTTGACATACTGTATTGTTATTGTCTCCAACTTGTTTGTGGATGGTGTTTGGCAGTCAGAGTTTGGCGGTCAATGTCTGTAACAAATGGCAGATTATGACAAGATTGTAATTGTTGTATAATTACAATTTTAATAGTTCATTAAGCGAGTAATTGTCCTTGCACTGCCCAAAAAACATACAATTTTTGACGTTTCGGTTGTCAGGAATATTAAGGTCTAACTCTACTGAAGAACACATTTTATATGGTGCTCCAGGTTTAAAATGATAACATAATGTCGCAATTTGATTTATGTTTTATATGGTATATATACAAGTAAGCATGACGCATTATTTTTGGACAATTTCTCCATTATGGCAGCCATTTTGGAAAATTGTAATGTAGTAATCCGATACATCACTTAACTTGCTGCCATTTGACATACAATTGGATTAATTTCTTTGCTCTAGGATTTCTGTTGTGAAGTTATAACTGTACTTTTGTTATGTTCCAGGTGCTACAGAACATGATAACCAATAGACAATAGAAAGAGAGCAGCTACCATTAGAGGCCATTTAAACAGCATACACCCTTACTACACAGATCATATACTACCTCACTACAGTACAGTCATATATACAATACAGCCTAACCATGTAGATATACCATAGACAGAACTTATACATACTACTTAATACTAACAAAGAACCCAGCTAGCTACAAGCATTTTAATTAGGTAAGTCAGAAAAAAGTCCTGCCTCAAGCCCATGTCTGCTCTCTCCCAACGCACCTACCTATACAATTTTATGGGTGGGAGATTGTCAGGGAAAGGGGTGGAGCCTGAGCAAGGTGAGAAAAAGTCCCGAATCATGATTGAAGGCCTACTTTCACTATATATTCCTCCAATCAGATCTGTTTTGAAACAGAAAGGCTTGTGAACAAAAGGGCTTCGTGGAAGACAAATGGAATGTTCCAGAGTACCGAGCTCCGATTGTTACATATCTTTCTTCCGATTTTCTCAGAAAAAAGTTTGCCTGTAGGCCCCTGTCTCTTTTCTAGCAGCAATTATATAGCTGGAGTCATATTTATTCTTATATTGCTTTTCTTGGAGTATTCTTAATGTGAGACTTGAAGCATAAAGTTGCACGCATTCTAGACCTCATTTATATTTAGACAGGAATCTATATTATATGATGATGTCACCAGTTGCTACGACAAATGTTATTTTTATATGAAAATAATACCGTAGTTGTTTTGTGGAATGCAATGAGGAAGTAAAATTCAGCAGAAATTTAATTTTTCATTCATTCATTGATAATAAATCACTGTTTATGGGTTATATGTGACTTCATCAGGTTAGGTTGAATCGATCTAATGAATATTCAGACATCTGCATACATTTTTGTTTTATTCAGTTAAGATGTCACTACAAGACAAATTGAACTTTTATCAATCAAGCAAGCAAGCATTTACCAATCAAACAAGCAACAAATCATGAAACAAATATACAATATATATATATACATTTATAGATATTACTGTGAAAAATATAAATCATCATGTTTTTATGACACCACAAGAAGTGGTGACATATTGTTATAGTCTTCAACATTTTTGTGGATGGTGTTCGGTAGTTGGTGTTTGGTGTTCAGCATCTATAACAAATCGCAGGTGGTGGATTTTATATGTTAATGCCTTGTTTCATATTTATTTTCATTTGATGTATTATGCCAAAACCTGGATTTATTTAGAATAAACCAAATGTACCAGAGGTTATACTTTCATAATATCTATAATGTTAGTGTCTTTTATTCAAAGTTACTCCATTTTCTCAGGGACCTGCAAATATGCTGAGTTTTCGGGTGTTGCAATGTAGTAGTCTCTTTTGGCAGCTACCTCTTTGTTGGCAGCTAAATCAGTGACATCACAATCCATGATCGCTGAGTTTGGCAGCTGGAAATCATGAGAAATTCTCTTTATCAAGTTGTTCTTAGGTTTTATAAAGGGGATTCAGGGCTCTCACCAGGCTTTTAGACTGTGGCCCAGCATCACTCTCTATTTAGCTCCCTCCACACCCTATCATGACTATTTCCACAGTCTAAACTTGACTGAATATGTAATAATACCATGTAAAAAGGATAAAACATAACATAAATATGATTTATCACGATTGAACGGTTATTCTGAAGATGTTAGCACCACACCCTAAATATTTCCTGGTGAGAGCCCTGGGATTGGATAGCAGTGTAAAAAGCCTTTCTTTTGGGAGACTGGGACCAGAGTTGACAACCTCCAAGATTATCAATTGAAAGTCTTTGAAAGAGATCATAACATTCTATCAGTTTCCTATCTACAGTATCTTTACAAGGTGGAAAGATGCTCTGAGTAATCGTTGGAGTGTGGAGAGTATCAGAATGACAGAACATTACTTATTTATAGGTTAATAAGTACACTGACCAAAATGAGAGCCAACTGTCAATGACTAATGAAGTCCATGGGAGAGCGGTTTATATCAATGGAAACAAAACGAAAATCATTGATTTCTGTCAATTTTTGCAGACACAGTTATGGTCATTAATATCTTTGAAGCTGACCAAAGAAGAACCTGAAAATATAGAAAATGTAGTCTATTTAATGTGATACCTTGTCTAGTTTAGTATACACAGGGTGTGGTGAGTTCTCTTTATATGGGGTATTATTAGCCCTATTGTAACAACACAGGTAGCCCCAGCGTCTGTTTGGACTATTGTTCTGGTCGCTCCTATGTAGAATGTTACAGTGGAAGAACAGGGCATCTCCGGGGTCCAACTCTGGTTGGATGATAGGACACACTTTTTCTATCTCTTCTACACGGGCGGTGTCTGCCCCTGCTTGTTTTCCAACTCTAATGTGGTCTATGCGTCCTATTTTGTGGCTCATTGGGATGATCTGTATGGATTATGGACAAAGGGCAACATTAGAAAAACACAAAATAACTGAAAGACTACTAAAGGATGTAATGATACGAGTCGGCAAAATCATAATTTAGAGTTGTAGATGAACTCCTTGTTTAGATAAATATTGTATGTGAGAAATCCAGGGACCCCAACCTTCATTCAATAGGTGAACAGTTATGTTATTATAGGTGTTACCTTTAGACATCCATTTTTCCTGTCTGCTCTATCAATAGCTGTCCATGTTGTACCTAGATTAGGAAAGATACACCCATTGTTGTACCAGTAACTGAAACAAAAGAATTTGATGAATGCCTTAATTAGATTGGAGCTAAAATGAAGCAAGGGGGATAAAGCAATACAGTAAGGGAATACACTGCCATTGTTGTACCAGTATCTAAAACCATAGCATCTCATGAACTCATGTTGCAATTAAGTCCCATCAATGGTATGCTAGGATTTACTATACTACATGTATATGTCGTAATTTGCCATTCAAAAATCTACCATTTACAAGAGCTTTACGTCAGATACACTCTTTTTAATTACAGATCATTATTTGATCTTGCCAATATCTAACCAGAATTATGCAATGAAAGCTGATCATTAAGATCTTCAAAACCATATGTTATAGTCAGAGGGAAGAGTGTCTTACTGATGGTGATGCAGGGTAATAATAAACCTCATACAGTCACAGAACATACTTACCCATAATCCTTCTGCCACAAAGAACCAACTTACCCATAATCCTGGTGCCAAACAAATGCACCTCCTGTGAAGGCATCTTTCGCAATGAGTTTCGAATGATAGTGATAAACTTCCCCTCCAAGCAACTAAGAATTACAAAACACAATTACTGCACGAATTTATCATTCAACTAATGCCAAGATAAATGAGATAGCCATCTACAGTCATCTACATTCATTAGTAGTATAATCTCTCATAGAGGTCAACAACATTGCCTTATAACAAGTCTCATATGTTTTATATTTGACTTAATTAATTGAGTTCTGAGATTCTAAACCTTCATAATACTGTTGAATGAGACTAAAGATTAGGGCTTTTACAATTGTAAGTTTGACTGAAGAATGGAATCATTTTACACTTTCTGTACAAGCTGTCAAAGATATTCTAGAGCAGTAATCAGTGTTGTCGATGTTACCTTTTCCCAAGTGCCTGCTACACGTTCCGTGCGGGCTACAACCCCCAATATATCATCACTGGGATGGTTCCACACAGTGATCCCCACAGCACGCCCTTCCCCATCATCCCTATCCATCTTATAATCAACCATTCCCTTGTCTTTATCAAGGAACTCCTTGAGCTTTAGAGTCTCAGCATTTGTAAGGAGACCTCTGATAATCATGTAGCCAAACTCATCAAAATGAGCCTTCATCTGGCCAGTCACCTTCCAGTCTTTACCAGTATACTTGAAGCCTGTGCCAGAAATATATTGTCATCGTATGTACATGTAATCCTAACATTGGCTTTAGGTCTATTTGACACATTGGCATCTATGATTGTCTAATGGGCAAAGAATGTAGATACAGGTTCCTAGACTTTGAATTTGTGCTGCCACACTCATTCAAAGGTTTGGAAACAACACATACATTGTTAAATTAATCTACAATGCAATGGGCAATCTTTTATTCTTGAAATTTTGAGATATTTTAACAAAGCATTTTGAGATATTTTAACAAAGCTGTAGTTCTGCTTTATAGATTGCTTCTATGCACTGGTATTGCTAGTTAGCTACAGTTGTATATGTTTCCTTTTGTTACCTTGATGCTTTCAGACGTCACAAAGGCTATAAATAAATAAAAGTTTGATAATAAACATACCTTCAATGTTTTGCTCCATGATGTTGATTGATGAGCTGCAAAAATGGCGAAGCAACAATCTACTCAAATGTACACCTGTGTTAGCTGGTAAAATTGAAGAAATGAATTTTCGAGAAAATTTAAACAACATTTATGATGTTTTTTATCAGAATTTTCAATTTGCATTTATCAACGTTCTGTCTGGTGTTTATCTTTATTAAAGGCTATATCTGTGTCAGTGTCAAAAGTTGTGTTCAAAGAGACAAGTTGTCAGTATTAATGTGCCGTATACCTGCACATATACATATATCTATAAACAATGTAGATTAGATATTTGGAGTTTACGACTACAAATGTACTTTTGTATTGTGAAGTGAGACTAGATATTTATAGAAAAAATATGGCGACATTTAGAGTACATCTTGTAATGCTCATAAAAAACATATCTAGTTGAGCTAGTCATCTGAAAATTCTTGTGGAGTTTCTCTATTGAGTCTTAGTTTTAATGTGCCAAAGCCAGATATCAGACAAAAAAGTTATGCACGTTATGTGGGTGGCATTTTTTGTGTCATCCTGTACGAAAAAATGTTAGTACAGTACGTTTCAGAGAAAATGTCTAGCCAGAGTCAATCAATCTCCTTCATCTAAAATAGAATCTCAGTTTACTTATAGATTATTGCTAAAAAGTTGTTTGAACAGTAAAATAACGCTTCATTTATTGATGGTACTGTCATAACAGTTTATACCACATGCCAATAGCTTGAAACCAGAGAGAATGATGGATAGTAAATGCGTGAGTTTCTCAAATCGAGAGCCAACTTCTTTCTGCCGGAACGAATAATTGATTAATGATTAATCAGCTCTGATATTATTCTCTGATCAAAGTCCTATCGAAATTATTATGTTACAATATTGCATTACATAATCACTTTTCTAATTGTTTGATAGAGATATCTACTCATTTTTGGCATTAAATAATGTCGCATTTCGTTAAATATCGTCCATAATTACGATTTTGATTGATTGATTTAGATAATCTGATAGAGCTTTCTTTAAATGAATGGTATGACTTGTGGCTTGCTCTAGTTAACATGTCAAACAATATGTCTAAGTTTATAATATGTTGATGAGTTTTATTCTGGGAAGGTTATTCAAAGTATCATATCTGTATGTTTCTGTTTTACTGTGTTTCTGTGTATCAAGTGTTCAATGTGAAACAGTAGTTTACCAAGTAAATTCTGTTCTAAAATGGTACATTATTGCCTTGAAATTTTGAAGGTGTTTCTTCAGATACTTTTTGTCTCTCTGCAATAACGTTCCATCCTGTACATCAGATATTTAACATCTAGTTCTGCTTATGTCACAACCAAAATGGTAACATATTGTTATAGTCTCCAACTTTTTGTGGATGGTGCTCAGTGTTCGTGTTCAGCAGTCAGTGTTCGACATTTTGCATGTTAGATGCCTCGTTAATTGTTTTTACTTCAGGGAAATTATACATCTACATCTTTTGAATGTTTAAAATGAAAAGAAAACAATTAATGTTTTAATTTATTCAAAATAAAACGAAGACCAGGTGGATGATACCACAAATTTTTTCCTGACCTTTGAATTAGAAATAGTTATGAATTCCACACTAGTCCAAATACACAGAGGACATATATCAATCATATGATTGGCGTAGACTCCCGGGAAGATTTAATCAATATCAAGGTTGTTGTTTGGTCCAATGCACAGTGATGTCATGGTAGCCCAGGAATTACCGTTTTGCTATGTGATCAATTCCTTATACTCTTCATGATAACTGAACTTGATCTCTTGTACTTGCTGAGCCAATCAGCGATTGTTATTGTTCAAAAACAGCCGTAGATATATTAGTCCCTGATCTGGACCCTCTGAAAAAAAGTTTTGTTGTCCGGTACTTTCCCAAATAAAATGATTGTACCGTTTGAAAGAACAGACTTCCCTCTTAAAGAAAACACCTCTTCTATTGATGTAAACAGGGGCAAAAGGCACCAAAACGGGGTTAGACAAGGTGGCATTCTGAAGTCTCACTTTCTTGTCATCACGATTCCAGGTAAACCATCAGACGGATTTACTTCAAATTTTCACACATGTTACATGGTAAGAAGTTCTAGAGCTGATTAACTTTGCGGCGGCCATCTTGCATTCTGGCGGCCATCTTGGAATTTTTTTCAGACAAATATTGTCATCGCGATTCCATAAAAACCACATAACAGATGTAGTTCAAATGTTCACACATGTTACATGGTAAAAAGTCTTAGACCTCATTATTTTTCCGGTGGCCATCTTGCATTATGGCAGCCATTTTGGAAGTTTTAAGATAAATCTTGTCATCACGATTTCAGGAAATCCAAACGGATTTACTTCAAATTTCCACACATGTTACATGGTAAGAAAATATAGAAGTGAATAACTTTTCGGCAGCCATCTTGCATTCTGGTGGCCATCTTGGAAATTTTGGGATAAATCTTGTCATCGTGATTCCTGGAAAACAACCTAACAGATTAACTTCAAATTTTCACACATGTTACATGGTATGAAGTTCTAGAGCTGATTAACTTTTCAGTGGCCATCTTGCATTCTGGCAGCCATTTTGGAAGGTTTATAGATAAATCTTGTAATCACGATTTCAGATAAACCACTTCACAGTTTTACTTCGAATTTTCTCACATGTTACATGGTATGAAGTTCTGGAGCTGACTAACTTTTCGGTGGCCATGTTGCATTTTGTCGGCCATCTTGGAAGTTTGTAGATAAATCTTGTCATCACGATTCCAGAAAAACCACTTTACAGATTTGCTTCAAATTTTCACACTTTATACATTTACATTCACAATGGTCCCTTCCTGGTATATTTTTGGGTTTTATGACTGTTAAATTCTATAGTCTTGTTAATACCACTTTATAAACAGGTTTATTATTACTTTTATGACTGTTAAATTATATAGTCTAGTTAACACCACTTTATAAACAGGTTTATTATTACTGGTGTAACTAACACAACGAAAAAAAATAAAATTGATTTATTTGATTTTATATAACATGAAATTATTTTTTCTTTTCGATAAAACATTGCTTATTAGAAATATATTTAGTTGAAAACTTAGAGTAAACAATCAGTTCTTCTATCATAAAGTTTATTTTGGTTCAGTAGATTTTTCTATACATTATTTTTGTGTCACCACCACTAGTGATTGGGTGACATATTGTAATAGCTTCGAATGTTTATCTTGACACTGTTCAATAGTTAATGTGTACTGTATACTTAACAAGGTGTGGTGACATTTTGCATGTTTCTGAATCGTCACTACTATTGAAAGCTTATGTTGATATTGTAGCAGTGTTTTTTAAGTTCTTTTTGTTGGTACAATTAGTTTCCAAACCCTATACTTATATCGATCTGACACACAGTTTTAGTGCAGGTTTAAGTGATTTTTGTTGATTATTTTACGCAAAGAGCACATGTGTCTCGAACTCGCAACATTGTGGATACAGAGCCCATTCACATAGTTTGACATGCTGGTGCTCTGAACCAGCTCGTTAGTTAATATCTGACTAAGAGACAGCTCGCTTTCCCGATGAAGAAACGTTATCTGCAGCTTTTATGAGTACTATAGTATCTACAACTATAGATCTTATGAGTATTGGATATCATTATCCCACCGAACGAAGTTCGAGGGGGATATAGGGAAGCCGTCCGTTCGTCCGTCCGTTCTTCCGTCCGTCCGTCTGTTCGTGTGTCCGGGCAATAACTCAAATACCGGTTGACGGATTTCATTTAAATTTTATAGGCTTATGCCTTATGAGTGTAGGACCTCTGCTCGAGAAGGAATTTTCAATATGGCCGCTTAATTCAAAATGGCGGCCATTTTTCGGAAAAAATGTAATCTTTAATAACTCAAATACTAGTGGATGGATTTGGTTCAAATTTTATATGCTGTTGCCTTGGTACAAAGGAGCCTTGCTCAAGAAGACATTTTCAAGATGGCCACCAAATTTCAAAATGGCGGCCATTTTTCGTAAAAAAACGTAATCTTTGATAACTCAAAGACCATTGAATGGATTTGGTTCAAATTTTAAATGCTGATGCCTAGGAACATAGGAGCTCTGTTCGAGAAAGGATTTTCAAGATGGCAGCTAAATTTCAAAATGGCGGCCATTTTTCGTAAAAAAACATTATCTTTGATAACTCAAATACCATTGAATGGATTTGGTTTAAATTTTATATGCTGATGCCTAGGGACATAGGAGCTCTGCTCGAGAAAGGATTTTCAAGATGGCAGCTAGATTTCAAAATGGCGGCCATTTTTCATAAAAAAACATTATCTTTGATAACTCAATTACCATTGAATGGATTTGGTTCAAATTTTACATGATGATGCCTAGGGACATAGGAGCTCTGCTGCTCGAGAAGGGATTTTCAAGGTGGTAGCTAAATTTCAAAATGTCCGCCATTTTTCATAAAAGAACGTAAACTTTGATAACTCAAATACCAGTTGACGGATTTGGTTCAAATTCTATATGCTGATGCCTAGAGACAAAGAAGATCTGCTCAAAAATAAATTTTCAAGATGACCACTGAATTTCAAAATGGCCGCCATTTTTCGTAAAAAAACGTAATTAATGATAAATCAAATACTAGTGGATGGATTTGGTTCCAATTTTATATGCTGATGTTTAGGGAAAAAGGAGATCTGCTTCAGAAGAAATTTCAAAGGCGATAGCTGAATTTCAAAATGGCTGCCGTTTTTCATTAAAAAAGTAATCTTTGATAACCCAGATACCATTAGACGGACATTCTCTGCTAAAGAAGAAATCTAAAGATGACTGCTGAATTTCAAAATGGCAACCATAAAGACATAATCTTTGATAATTCAAATACCAGTGGATGTATTTGGCTCAATTTTTTTATCAAAACATGTTTTGTTCGGTGGGATTTGCTACTCCGTGGAGTTGCTGTTTTTCTAGTTATTTTCAATTTTTCTTCAACATGTATTTTAATGACTTCAGTATGAATGGAATGTCCCTCGGAGTTGTGGTCGTTGATGAGGAATTGGTCATTGAACGGTGTGGATGCTGTTTATTCCCATATTAGATTATTGTCTTGGGATATTCAGGTTTGATTTTTGTTTACCAGTTTTACACTTTACAGTTTGCTTTTCCCACTAGGTTGCTTTACACTTTTTTCCTTTCTCATTTGTCATTTTTTTATATTTAGTAAGGATATGATACGCAGGTCTCTCCTTCTGTGTGATCACCTGTCCAGAAGATAATTCAACTGCATGAAGAACATTTTGTTGACATGATGCACAGTGAAAGGTTTTCCACACATTTACATTTTCGTTTAAAAGAGCTTTAATTCCGTTATATACTCAGATCAAGGCCAATTTAGCATACATTTCGCTCTCAAAAATCGCTGTGCAATAATGGATTTCAAAGAAATGTTTGACGTTTTCAATAATCTTTTTTCTTTTTGATGAAATGTAGTTATTTATTCTAAAAATCAATCGATGTCATACACAAAATGCATTTAAGTGGTATAAAGTACAGAAGCAGAGTACAAATATGTATTTTAGAATATCACCATGTGTTACCCCATTGTAGCGCCTCTTGCCCATGTTTCTATCAATATAAAACATGATATCATACACCAAATATGCATTTATGTCAAATTATGTGGTTTAAAATACAGAAAAATAGATAACATTCTCCTTAGAATACCACCTTGTGTAACCCCACTTTACTGCCTTTTGCCCCTGTTTATATCAATATAAAAGGTAGCATGTAACCTTCCTTGTAACATGTGTAAAGGTTTCAAGAAAATCAGTAAAGTGGTTTTCCTGGAATCACAATGACAAGATTTATCCAAAAAACTTCCAAGATGGCCGCCATAATGCAAGATGGCCACCGAAAGGTTAATTAGCTCTAGAACTTCTTACCATGTAATATATGTGTGAAAATTTGAAGTAAATCCGTTTGGTTTTCCTGAAATCGTGATGACAAGATTTATCTTTAAATTTCCAAGATGGCTGCCAGAATGAAAGATGGCCACCGAAAAAATAATGAGGTCTAGGACTTTTTACCATGTTACATGTGTGAACATTTGAAGTACATCTGTTATGTGGTTTTTGTGGAATCGCGATGGCAATATTTATCTGAAAAAAATTCCAAGATGGCCGCCAGAATGCAAGATGGCCGCCGCAAAGTTATTCAGCTCTAGAACTTCTTACCATGTAACATGTGTGAAAATTTGAAGTAAATCCGTCTAATGGTTTACCTGGAATCGTGATGACAAGAAAGTGCGACTTCAGAATGCCACCTTGTCTAACCCCGTTTTGGTGCCTTTTGCCCCTGTTTACATCAATAGAAGAGGTGTTTTCTTTAAGAGGGAAGTCTGTTCTTTCAAACGGTACAATCATTTTATGTGGGAAAGTACCGGACAACAAAACCCCTTTTCTAGAGCCCTTTTGGAAATCAGATCGGGGACTATATGTGTAATATTTAGTGTGGCTCTGTGGTCCATGTTGGTTCTCTCTAATTGTTTGAATCTTTTTTTTTTTTTTAATATTATTTATTGCATAAATAATATATTACAATTAACGAAAATGTAATAATGTCAATCGCCCTGAGGCATTACAGACATATTCACAAATAGATAAAATACATACAGGCAATAACTTGATTGGAAAATAAATGTAAAAAATAATTAAAAATGTGATAAAATGAATGAGTATGAAGAATGAAATGATTATGGTGAAGGTGACAGTAGGACATGAAAAGGATGTTTACAAAGTCTGATCAACCTCTGTTTGATGATTCTTGTTTGAATCTCAGAGCTAGTGTTACTTGTCAGAGCCAGTGAGGTCAGGGTAAAAAAAAGTGAATCATCACAGATAAGATTCACAACCTGGTCAATAGGCCCTATGGTGTTATAGGAGCGTATTGATGTAGATTCAATTAATGGTTTAAGTCATACATAATTAAGCTAGACTTATATATAGTTTACCAGTCCTAATGGAATAAAATGTGAGATAACACACACTTTAGTTATCAAATACTTATTCAATGCTATACTATTTCACATAGCATGTTTATCAATGAATTACCCTTTGCATTTGTTCAACTTTGCTCCTTAAAATACGTGTAGAGCTTTGTCTTCACTCTTTCAGTTTACGATAAATCTCTGAACTCACCGAGCTATTAGGAGTTCGTCGTGGAAATATGGACAACTTTCTACATACTATGGTCATTTCCTCTGATATCATCGCATAGTTAATGAGCACATTTTTAGCATGTGTTCCTTCCAGCTCGCTGATTGGTTGAGAAAAGATCAGCGTGGTAGATTTGAAATGATTCATGACCCGGACTCTCAGCCATATGGCGTGGGGGTGGGGCTACTAAACTGTAAAATGGTCTATACTAGGCAGAGTGTAGTTTATAACTATAGACTCTGCGCGTAGGGTATTAATGAATCTGGTCAAACTAACAATGTGAAAGCAGTAGATTGTAGGATTTTTTGAGTTTTCTTTTTAGTGGTTTAGTTTTTTTTTGTGTGAGTCTCTTTTGAGTCATTGGGTCAAACTCTCCTATGAGAACTTGTTAAACATTGGCTCTACAAATAAAAGCAACGAAAGTGATTATTAGTTTAGGACATTATCAAATTGGAAAATCACAAGCTGAATTAGATCAAGTAGGAAGAGTTTAGGATGAGTCTACTGATGCCAAAATTTTGATATTTTAATCTTAAGATAGAGTATATATGCAAATATGTATTGACTGTTCTCTCTTTGTTGATATATGGCTTGATATTAGAATTGGATTCAACTTTGGTCAATTTACGTGGTTACCTGTTGTAAATCTATCTAATATTCTCATGTTATCAGGCCTGACCCACTATGCAAATGTAAATGTATGGTCCACTCATAACCCTACTATGTTAATCTCCTAGTTATCTGCGCCTGTTACGTTGTTATCATTGTTGCTAGAACGTATCATTGTAGTTCAGTTCTCAGTCAGGATTCAACAACAATATGTCGTACAGGATATCACCAGTGGTAAGAATTTTATATTCAATTGAAGGCTTTTGATTTTCATGTCACCACCAGTGGTGATGAATCGTAATTGTGTTGCTATTATAGCCATCTTTTTTCACCACTATTTGCCATTTGTGTTGGCATATGTATGCCTGAAATAAATTTTGATGAAGATCAAACGATGGAATTGAGTCATTTGTCACTTTTAAATGAAATAAATCAGAAACAGTATTTCATATTTAAAAGACCAAACATTATATTATTGGTATAGGACAGTGATTAACATGTCATTGTAACGTTAGGACATTATAAAACAAGATAGATACGGTTTGCATATGTCTTCACAAAAAGTACCACGCACTAATTTCGGAATAACTCTCTCAATGATTAAGGAATCTTCATGATTTTTTATGTGTAGATAATGTTCAATGGAAAACAGATTGGTATGCTTGCACAGCATCAACAACATTGAAATTAAGAGATAACTCATGTTCCATTCAAAACTGTAAAGTAGAAAGTCTTTCTTAAAATTTACCTAATAAGTGAGTCAATTATCATCAAAGACAAAATTATTTTAGAAAAATAGGTAGATAATACAATTGATAATACAGGGTGGTCAAAAAATATGGAAAGCCTGTATTTTCCTTATATCTTTGTCAATTTAAGGAATTACTCCCTGATATTTCACACATTTGTACATCATTCAGTTTCCTACCACCCTACCATATTTCATGACCATCAGACTGATAGTACTTTGAATAACACGCATCAGATTTGACCATTATCGCGCTGTAGGCAAAACAGCACAGTTGTCAATGAGCTGAATGCATTCCTCAGCAGGTATGTCCTGAATGACACAGATGATCTCACTTTTGAGGAAATTCTCATATACTCTATCTCTGCCATATCCCCACAGGTAGGGACATTTTAGACGATGAGTACAGGTTTTCCCACAACGCAAAAGTGGCCACTGGGCATGTTCTTTAAAGTACTGTAACATTGTAACTATCAATCTGATGGTCATGAAATAAGGTAGGCTGGTAGCAAATTGAATGATGTACAAAAAAGTAAAATATCAGGGAGTTATTTTTTAAAATAACAAAGATATGAGGAAAATGGTAATAGGGTTTCCATTTTTTTGACCACCCTGTATATGTGTAAATTAATGAAAACAATCCAGAAAGGACTCAAATAATGGTAAAGACATAAATCCCGATTTCAGAAATTGCATTTTTGATGATTTCACCGAGACCTTGCTGGACCGAAAACGTGATATCTCTAAATCTGAAAGTTGTTGATATTATCCAAGTACATGTACAGCAATCTTTTTTCCATTGAACACTTTATCTACACTAAAAAATCATGTAGATTCCTTAATTTTTGAGAAAGTTGGTATTTTGTGTCACCCTGTAGTATGCTAACCTGTCAATATGTTGAGTTCATTAGCCATAAAGGTGATCAGCTGATACTATAATGCATCTATAAACTGTTATGGATTTCACATATTTTAACAATCAGTATATTATATAAATATTAACTTATTGACATTAGCTTTTCGTATTTTCATATGAGTCTAAAGTAAATGTAGGTTAACTGAAGTCAGTTGGACATTTTCTCTATGGACAAATAATAGTACCTAATTATCTATTCTGGTGTTAAGTCTGCTGTCTTCAGTTACAACATCGTTAGATCATCATGACATTCATGGTTACAGCCTTGGATTTAGAAATTACTTAGTAAAGGAAAACACTTTTGATGTATTCATATTTTACATGTATGACATGTTCATGTTAGTTCAGGAAATAAAACACAAAGCACATATTTGTCAGATTCAGAAACTTGAATTTTGGGTCATAAATAAATGGAAAGTAAATATTCTCTAAAATGTTGTAAAAATTGGTTTGGATCACTCCATTGTATTGGTCAACCTTTGTGTATTTTCAGCTTAGTCCAAGTGCTATTCCCATCCCAGGGGGTTTACATCCTGGGAAAGAGGTCATAATTAAAGGCCATCAGATCCCTGGGGCAGACAGGTATGACACGCAAGACCCTTTAACTGTTTACTTTGTGTAAAGATAATTAGATCAAACATTTATTTATTCTACTGATTTATAGTCACAGCTTAATTTTATGAATCAGGTAAACAAATGAATGTGCAGAGTTATCATGCAGTCATAGAATAAGCTTCATGGTTAGCACATAATCCCACACATACTTTAGTTTGAGTTCAAAAAAGTATCATATTCCCCTTATTATAAGTCATTTCATGAGTTGGGTTGCATATCCTTTTTCTTTTGAGAAAATATGTTTTTGAGGAATTGAAAACAACAAACTCGTTTCTCTAGAGCATAAACATATGCAATCCAGACCCAAATTAACAATTTTCTGTTTTATAGATTAATTTTAAAAAGTGATTAAGGCAAAAATTAAATATCTAGGTAGAGCATACAGTAAAAGCACCAGGTGAATAAACAGTACAAAAAAACAGGGAAACATGTTTTTGAAAGATAAGACTTATTTCCAGAGACTATTTTGGAAAAATATTGTAATAAGTAGAATATTGTTGTGCTAGGTTCCAGGTTAATTTCCAGTCAGATGCGGAAGAAGAAGCTGGTTCAATCCCACTCCACTTCAATCCCCGTCAGAGTATGGGATATGTGGTCCGCAATGCCTTCTATGGAGGATGGGGGCCAGAGGAGGTAGAGGAACCAGAATTCCCATTTAGAGATGATGAGGACTTCACCATAAGAATCATCACATTCCCAGAGTACTATGTGGTGGGTATTTGATACCTCCTTTGTAGAAATATGTTTAATGTCAGAATTACATATTTGATCAATAAAAACTGTTTTAATTCACTTGATATAAATCATGCACATTTAACAATTTCTACCATATGTCTTGACTTACATATCTTGACTTACATGTTTATAAAACATTGAAATGGCTGGTCCCAGAGACATTCAGGCGAGACAGGTTTTACTGTATTTGAACTATTTTAGGTCCATGTGAATGGCAGACATTTCATTGACTTCCCCCACCGTGCATCATTTGAAGAAGTAAAGTATTTAGCTGTTGGTGGAGATGCAGAATTCCATGAAGTCATATTCATAGACAATATCCAGGTAGGTGGTCAGTTCTTATTATTCCTTTTGAAATGTTCAAATAATACAAAGCATGGAGTGGAAGGCCCCTGTAGTGAAAATATTACATTGGTGTCTCACTGAAACTAGGATCAAAACTTAGTTGAGGCAAAATATAGTTGGTGTCGGTGAGGAAAATTTAGACTGAATATGGTATATTACTACCTTTGTACTTCATTTCTACAGTTTTTGTTGAAAAAAATGGTTGAAATTTTGGTGAGGCCCAATTGGCCACATTCATACTTCACAGGCCAATCACATAACTCATATTTACTGTATTTTTATGTCGCCACCAGAAGTGGTGGCATATTGTGTTGTTAATAGTGTCCAACTTTTTTGTGGACAGTGTTTGGTGTTTAGCATTCATTGTTTGTTGGTGTCACTTTTTGGTGTCTGTAACAAATGGTGGGTATTTTAAACTATATGTACATGCATATTTCAGATGCTTCCCTATTGGGGCACTTTCCCAGGCATTGATGATCAGTTCCTGCCTGGATCTGGGGTCAGAGTCAGAGGTCAAGTCATGCAAGGAGCACAAAGGTAAAGTATTATCAACACTAACTTACCATCAATTTCACTTGCATTATGACAATTTTGGACAAGATTGAGTTTAAGGTGGTTTAATTAATTTGGATACCATCTTGGAATTGGCTTTCATACATGATCAAACAGGCCGAAAAGTTAAGTCACTCTGACTATGTTAATCTAATTTGTAAAGTGTGATGCTCGTCATTCCCATTCATTTATGTAACACTCAAGTTGTGCTTAGATTAAAGGTCAGCCTGACTAAGTCGAGCATTGGGCTTTCCAGAAAAGATAGTTTTTTTTTAGTTTTTTTTATATGGTAATCTATTTATTTCATAAATCTTATTTTACATCAGATAGATAGTTGATATTTAGATGAACAGAGAGCCAGTAATTAGTATTCCTTCTAGTTTGAAACCCCATAGTTAATTTAAATGTTTTTTTAGAGAACTTGTTTGTGAATGTGTAGAATTATGGTCCTTTAGGGATATGTCCTCCCTTTCATATTAATTAATTGCCCGGTTGAATTTAAAGTTACAGTATAAGAAAAAAAAGTTGTAGAGTAGTTCCTCAAAAACAAACTGGGAGGGAGAAAAAGTATGACCCTGGGGGTCATAAATACTACATATTCACAAACAAGTTCACTTAACAATGTTTAGCTAACCTCCCTATTGCCTCAGAAACAGTGAAACAAACGTTTGATCAGTGAACAATGAAATATCACTGAGCTCAATATCTGTAAATTATTTCTTGTAGGTTTGAGATCAACTTCTGTAACAGTCTGGATGGAGGTGATGATCGTCCCTTCCACTTCAACCCCCGCATGGAGGACAAAAAAGTTGTACGTAATTCACAGATTGATGGAGGTTGGGGTGATGAAGAGAGAGATACTGATGAGTTCCCCTTCAAGGAGGGTGACTTCTTTGAGGTCACCATAGTTGCCTCTGATGATTGCTTCAAGGTAGAGTGATTTGAACTTATCAGATGTGATATGCTGGTTGGATAAGAAATCAAATGTGCAAGATGAAAATTGAGCTATTCATTGGCTGAGTCAAATCGCATGATCTTAAGAAAGCCGGTTTTTGCCAAGGGGGCTCACTTTTCCAAAAAATCCAGGGGGTTCACATTTGACAACTTTGGCCCAAAATCACTTGAAAAGTGCTCAGAATTTTTAGTCAAGGGTGGTTCGCTTGAACCCTTTGAATCCCCCCTGGCTAAAGGCCTGTATGTGTAGAAGATATGAAAATTAATACAATTAATTAATATATACATGTATTGTATTTGTCATGTTTTCTAGTGTTTCTGGGGTGATGAGAGAGTCAACTACAGTCATAGAATCCCAATTGAGAACATTCACAACTTGATGATAGATGGCAACGTTGCCCTAACCAGTGTAGAGTACCTAGTCCCACATCTGGTATGTAAAAACACTTTGTCTTTTAACTGCAAAGCAGATTGAATCATCTCAGAGACACTACAGTTGAAACTTTTACAGTTGAAATGTTTTTAATATCAAACTCTCTTCCAAGTATTTTAGTTCCTTGAAATATGGGTCTTGCGATAATTACAAAGTCTGACAAAATGCGTGTCAAAATGCCCTATTAAATCAAATGTAAGGACATATCGACGGAGACATACCTTACTCGTTTCGACAAAGTATAGCTTAAAATAAAATGTAATACTAATTATAGGTCCTTTGGTATGCCTAAATATACAAAAGTGTAATATGGCAAAAAATCAAGGCACCACTCCATATATGTCAAGCACTGTGCCAAATTTCCTATTCAATATTGGCTTTTTAATGATAAAATAACATGCTTTACAGTGCAGTTAAACCTGTCTAATCCAAACGCTATTGGGACTGGTTAAAAGTGTTCAGATTAGGAGGTGTTCAGATTTCGAGGTTTTTGCATTGATTCAAATGAATTAAGTCATGCTCGAAAGACCCATTGTGATTGACACCATTTGATGTTTTTTTCAAAAGTTTTGATATCATAACAAATCATTGTTAAATTGAAAGTAGTTGAGCAGTTTTGTAAAAAATTCTATAGTATGTGATATTTTGTCCAGATGAGACTCTAATTTTTCAAATATGAGTGTTCAATTTTTGAATCAAATTGGGAGGTGTTCGGATTTCAAGTTTTTTCAACGTGAAAGTCAATGAGAGGGAAAAATGGAACCAGAAAAAAGTGTTTGGATTGAAGGTGTTCAGATCAGCCAGGTGTTCTGATAGCTTTGACCGTATGTGCAGGGTAGTGAGAAAAGTAGCGACTGGTTAAAATGAAATCCTCAAATCATTGACATATGTAAATATGATGCTTAAATGTCTATATGTAATATTGAAAGGCTTTTTTAGCTTGATTGCCCTGCATTATATGGAAATTATGTTTTCTTTTTATCTAGATGCAAGTTGTTGACATCCCTGCAGTAGTGCCGATACCCCATGGTATGTCCGAGGGCAAGTGTGCAGTCATCAGAGGCTTTGTGCCAGATGAGATTGACAGGTATGTATTAAATACCAGACTGCAGAATTAGAAAGTTCATTTGGGCAAAGTTCAGTGAATGCCACACTCATGTATACATTTATAGGAAAATAACATAAAGACTGGTCCATAATGATTCAGCATTGTAGGCCTTTTCAATAAAGTCTGTCCTCTTTTGCTACATATACACCAACACTTCATAGATCTAGTGTAGACACAGGGTTTAATAAAAAGGTTTATTTTAATTGGTAGATTTGGGATGCATATAATGCACCCTGTCGAATGCAGGGAGACTACAATCATTGCCAGCTACAGTTCATATGGGTACAGAACATTCATTGTTGTAAACAGGTGCACATACACTGTCTGTCATCCATCTAAGATGCATAATTAAATGTTGATTTTGAATTATGTCCAACTAATTTTTATTACAGAATCAAATTGATCTTTATAACTGGCCTGGTCTTAGGCAAAGTATAAGGCTGTCTCATGAATTTTTAACCATAGAGAGCAATTTATTATGATAAGAAAACAGAAGTAAGTCATTACATGCAAAATGTCACCACCTTTGATTTGTTACAGACACTGAACCCTAACTACTGAGCATCAGTTTCCAAACACTGTCCACTAAAAAGTTGGGGACTATAACAATATATCCACACTTTTGGTGGTGACATAGAAACTGTAAATTTTAACCATTGTAAACTAGCCTACATTTTACTTTTAAATGGGCAAGGTTCTATAAAGACAAAACCCTGCACAAAAAAAGTTCAAAGCAGTCATTTAAAAAAATTATGTTATGCAGATTCCACATCAACCTGCAGAATGACCCTGAGGGTAATGAGGTGGGGTACCACTTCAATCCCCGCTATGAGGACAAGGAGGTGGTCCAGAACTCCTGCCTAGGGGGGTGGCAGGAAGAAGAAAGGAGCAAACGACCTAGGGCTCTCAAACAAGGCCGTCCCTTTGAGGTCAGAATCATGGCCTGGGATGATAAATTCACTGTGAGTTCATGTACATTTATATATAGTCCAAAGGCAGAATATTTCCCCAATTATCATGCATTCATTTTTCCTATCAATATGATGCTATCTTGGTGATTTATGAACATAGCAGGCATAATATTAAATTAAGCAATATTTTGAAGGTTATTAATTAAGTCCAATGTACCAGTTTACAATCATCACTGCATTATCCAATCACTACAACAAACAAAATAACATATACAGTAAAACCTATATATAGTGAACACCTACAAAAAATGTTCCCTACAGAGAGGAGGCAACTTTTTATACAGAAGTCAGCGGAGTATGTGCCAAGAAAAGCTGTTCACTACACCAGCATGTGACCCCCCCCCTGGAAATTTTTGAAAACTGAACCCCCCGCCCCTTAGCAAATACTGGCTAAGGGCCTGCTACACACATGTGTTCACTAGAGAGAAGTATTCACTAAGACAGGTTTTACTGTATATGCATTGTGACGTATTGCCATAGTAACAGATACAGTACATGTAATGTGTGTTTTCTATGCAGGTGTATGTGAATGGAGAATACTTCAGTTCCTACAGCTACAGATGCCCCCTTGAAGACATCAAGTTCTTGGCTGTTGATGGCAATGCTCTATTCTACGAGGCCTATATTGATTTACCTATGGTATGTCATGTCTCTCAGTTTGGCCTAAACACTTAGAATTGAGAAAGCACAAAGGCCAGGCATAACACAAGTCATGTACAATAAATACTTCTCAGCATGTATGAGATTCTCAAGAAATAATAGAAATAGTGTTACTATTTGATCTCCAATTTAAAAGCCAAAGAACATCACCAGTCTAAATCATTGTATTTTGTTGTGTACAAATCTAGTCATATACACCAATCAGTGAGTTCCGATGAAAAGTCCAGTCTTGCCCTGTATTGCCCAGTGGAAATATTTAACACTACAGTATAACTCCATTGAGGTCCATTCTTCTCCTATTGGTGAACAGTTAGCTTAAGATATGGCATGCTCTATGTATAGCTTTCACAATGTTTCATGTTACTTTCTTTTAGCGTCAACCTTATGTGGAGAAGATATCTGGCTATATGATGCCTGGGAGGTGGCTCACCTGTAGAGGAGTTCTAAAGAAAGAAGAGGATGCCAACAGGTGAGTAAGCGTCATGGTAACAGGGGGGGGGGGGTATTTTACTTCCATTGCATATTAACCCATGTTAAATGTTTTGATCTGGAATGATCAAGAATTTTCATGGTAAAGCCTCAGTCACATTTCCTTAATGGTGGGCGTATCGATAGAGAAAATTTACATTGTACTGTTTACCCCTATATTTTATGCTGCATATCTCGATTTTGGAAAGCTACAGCCGCTGTATGGTTGCCATAGGTCAAATGTGACTTAGGCATATATCACATTTAGGATATTGCATTGATTTTACCACTAAATTTATATTTTATATGTTTAAAATATCTGCATATGACCTTGACCTTGACCTTGTGAAACATAAAGCATGTGCCTTGTAGTACTGACATGCCTGGAAAATGTTTTAAAAGGTGAAATAATATTTCTAGGTTCCAAATAGATCTGCAAACTGGAGAACAATGTCCCCCAGAATCCGACTCCATTTTCCATTTCAACCCTCGCATGGAGGATCGAAAAGTAGTGCGAGGTGCCTGCATAGGTGGCGGTTGGGGAGATGAAGAAAGAGATCAACCTGATTGGCCGTTTAAACCCAACGAGTTCTTTGAGATCCTCATTAATGTGAGAGAAGGAGGATATATGGTATGATCATTATCTTACTTTCTGAAACACAAGTATGTAGAATTAAATGATTAGAGATTATTTAAAGGGAGGAAGGAAATCCATGGATCCATGCTCCAGCCTTTCTTGAAACAATTTTTGTTATTTATTCATGCCAAAATGAATCTGTTTGAAAAGCCAATATTGTAATTTGTACAAACGTATAAAGATTATAATGAATACATGAAAATGTTAAAAAATGAAAACTAATACATGTGTTAATTTTTCTATTTTACAGACATATGTAAACAACAAGCCGTTTGTCTGGTTCAACCACAGAGTGGACTCTACCCAATGTAATCACATTGGCATGTTAGGCGATGCCCACTTCTTCCACATAGACATGGTGTAAAATAGCATTCAAAGGATATCACATATTGACAATGGAATTCTAAACTGTTCGTTCTCTGATCTAAAATGAGGACCAATTACCTGATTTTCTGTGTTTAAGACAATAAGGATAATGCTACTATTCATGAAGTATGCCCCTCATGCTTTCCTTGGTTTCTGCTTCATTTGCTTATTCAAGAGACTGGATTGTGGATAAAATAAATGTTTAAGGCATGGATGCAGATGTATAATCAATACTTATAGTAGGGGTGTGTATGGCCTGATGGTGGATGCTGGGGATGGAGATGAGAAAATAGCAGAAATGTACAGGAAAGACTGGAAGAAGCAATATTGTTATGTACAATGTACTTATAAAAAAACAATTAAAGTATATTGTTTAAAGTGCATAGTGATTAATCCATCTGGAATCATGTTTGTAAAATTGTATAACTGCATTAGTGTTAGTAAACTGAACAGATGGGTTGTTTACCCATAGCTTGGGTCAGAGAAGCTGTAGTGGTGACCCATAGGGGAAACCAGTAGCTCTGGTCAAGTGACCCATAGCTGGGGTTTGGTGACCAATGACCATAGCTCGGGTCAAATAATTCATAGCTTGGGTAATTTCTAATTATAATATTTTGAACAATTCAAACACTCATTAGTGGTCAACTTTACTGATTTACTTTCGCTACACAATGTGACACAAGAATCTTGAGAAGACACAGCCCAAATCCACCTAAGCCACACCCCACCTTTCTTTAATGTATAGGGTAAGATTTGTAGTGAAGAAGATGCTATTGGTTTTTATCTAGGCTCAGGCTATCACCCAAATTGAGAAACCGGTGTGATATTGAAGTATTAATAGTATGATTATTACAAATGGGCTTATAAGTAATTATATAAGGCTATGCCTAGAATGTTTTGTTTAATCTTGGCTTTCCAGTGGAGAAATTTATTCATGTTCAATTAATTTTACCATGGAAAGCCAAGCTAAAGTAAAAGAGGATGTATGATGTTACAGCACCCAATATTGTTGTTATGTATGACTTATAGGTCTTTGTTGTATTTTCTATGTGTTTTATGAAGATAAATATTAAGATTTATATTAATGAATTATTTCACATCCTCTTCACAATCAATATGATAAAATGTATCTTATATGAAATCGATAAAATAAATTAAATATTGTATATATAAATTTTGCGCTGTACTTGTAAATACTGTTTTTAATTGTAATCAACTTACGGATTTAAATAAAAGCGTAATATTAGATAATAAATTATTGAATATGATTGTAGTAATTTATTTTTATATGATCAATTTTTTAAATGTATAAATTACATGTACAATGTAGATGTAAAAATTAAATGGAGAGCAATAAAATATTTCTAAACACGAATATGAATTTATTTGGTTTGATAATTACAGTATATATGTTTTTTCTCAATGCCTTGACTCATCTTGTTGAAATGGTCATGTCTTTGATGGCCCAAGTGCTTTGTGTGGGTGCTCATTTAAGAGTTCAATCTGAAAAAATAAACCATCTCTTTCTCTAATGGCAATAAAAGAATGCTAAGAGACACAGTCAGCATCCATGCCCCAATCATAATGTATATAAGCTCCATACATCAGCTATCTCATGGGCTTGAGCAGCCTACAGTAAGATTGGGACATGGGTAATACACACCACTTTGATTCAATAATCTTGAGTTGTAAAAGAAAATATAAAATTGTAAAAAAAACATTTTTTGTATACCAAATTAGATTTTGGAGACTGAAAGGGTATTAGGCTTTATAAAAATATATACAGGGAGGGCTAAAATATTTCAGTATGTTTATATGTTCAATAATACACCCAATATTTCATTTTTTGTCTGAAAATAATTTCAGAACATGTTGCAAAACCGTCCCTATATGTCTATCTGACCTACTGTATAAGATATTGATCTGGTACTACAATTAGAAGCATGACTAAAAGTGTTAAATTGTTAAAATATTATTCTGATAACTGCATACTAGTAATTTCATTCAGACCCCTAGCAGGGGTGGATCTGGGAACCAACAAGGGGGGGGGGGGGCTTTCAGGTCTGAGAAAAAAAAATTTGGGCCCCAAAACCAAAAAGTGGGCCCAAATTTTTCTTCAAAATTTGGCCTAAAATTCAAAAATAAGGCCTTAAAAGGCCCAGTACTTTTTTGGCCCGAAATTTTTAGTGTCTGTAAAACCACGGGCTTTCATCTAGAAATGCCCTAGTTGCAAAATCGATTCTTGTTTCTTCATCAAAAATATTTTTAAAATCCATCTATTACTGTTAAAAAAAGTAACCACCAAATTAAAAAATATGTATGATATTGGCCCACCTTGTACTGTACATGATATGCTGAGTAAATACTTGAACTTACCAGTAAATCCTTATACTTACCAGCCTCTCATTGATGTTATACAGCTGCATCTCTGCACTAGCAATGGTGGTCTGCAAAAAAAATTAGAGCATCTCATTGGTGAACAGTTTAACTCATAAAATGATATAAAATTGAAAAGGTCATTGATAGTTTTATCATACTGTGTATAATTCTTGCTCAAGTTTTAACTGATCAAAGTTTAACACAAGACTTAATTCACATCTTATCAATACTGAAGCAAGTGGTTTTAGATAAAGTACTGACTACTTACTCCTTTTGGTTCCCTTCTCTCCATATTAACTTGCTCCACAAGAGTCCACTGCTCTGTGTGTGGCTTGTTGTTGTCCCAGGGGTGATTGGCTCTACACATCCTTGCAACCTCAGGTATCAGCATCCATTTTCCTAATCCACTAAATGTATGCATTGCTTGATGCTTTTTATCAGACATTTTAGGTTCAATATTCAAAACTCAGACTCACTCAGATAAAATATATATGAAAAGTTGTCAAGTTGGCATTTTACTTATTGATAGTGACGTCACGGGATGTAATTTCCCGGGTTTATTTTAAAAAGAATATTTCGTGTAGTGTAATTTTGGTGACAACTTCCGGTAAGGTCGGGAATTTTATTTGTAATGTTAATTTTATTTATTTAGTATATTTGTGACCATATTAACTCGATAAGGGTATCGACTTTTAAGGAAACAAATATGTGTACATATTGAATTGAAACAGTTTTTAAAAATGCGCCGTATAAGATTTCTGAGAGTAAAAACTCTTATAATTTTCTATTATCGCCCACCTAACCCAGGTCAAGTGTTTTTTTTCAAATTTCTACAGTTTAGCTTAGCTTTAGATATCATCACAGTCGGCTAAAATTAATTTCCATTTATCTCCAATAATATGAAATCTGAACTTCATTCTTACTTTTAAGGGTTGGAGGGGTATTTGACTTTTGTTGTAGTTGCAGTTTCCAAATAAAAGAGTAAGGTCAGGGTGCACTTTGATGCACTTTCATGACCATGTGGTATTTTCAGATAAACATAACTCATTCCACACATCATCTACATCTTTCATTCTTGCACAAACGATGCATTAATGTACCTAGACTATTAATTGAGGGTTGATAATTCTTCAGAATGCTTGAATAATTGGAATATTCAGTGGTTTACTTTTCAAAATTGCAAAAAGAATTCCAATGTGCACTCTGGCCTTAAGGGCGATCTACAACTGATTCGGTTCGTTTCTGTAACTGATTCGGTTCATCACCACGCATGCGCAAAATGAAAAGTGTTTCCGATGATACCTTTTGATTGAAGCATTCTTCGATCATAGCTCAGTCATCATCAATGCTGTGAATAAAACTATTTAAGTATTAGGATCACGCTAATAAGAACATCCATGATCAAAAGTAGTTACATTAAACCTACCATAGTCCATACACTTTTGCACTAGATCTATGCATCTAAAATCAATACTGGCCATGATTCATGCTGAATATTAAAAAATTATGATGGACCACAGCGGCAAAAATAATGGAAAAATTAAATGTATTGGAGAAACATATAAATGAAAGCCATATATGATAACTACTGCTAACACACCACTCAAATGTGTCTGGAAGAGAAACGTCATGAACGTTGTCAAGTCGTTTGAGATGAGACGCCTTTTCGTTCTTAGCTCCTTATATCCAACACTGAGACCAATATTGAGATGTTTCACTGTTTTAAAACCATTTTTATGGTGGGAAGTTGCCAGGCGTTTTCCAAGACGCTTACCACAATGTAAAGTTATAATGAAAATGATATCAGGAACATACAGGATATGTAATTACGGACAACCAATGTCTGAACGTGTATGCTTACTATGCAATTTAAATGTCACTGAAGACGTACAGCATTTTTTACTATTGTGCCCAGCATATATAGATATAAGATACAATCTATTTAGTGAATTATATAAACTAGGAGTCAACAACTTTTGTGAATTCATATGTTTCATTTTCGGTGGAGGGAGCGAATATGATCCTGAAATAATGCTTCCATTGCTGGACACGATATATGAAATGCACAAAAGAAGGGATTGCCTTCTTAAATCCTTGTAAATAATAGCATGCTCTGACATATGAGCATATTAATTTTGCTCATCTAACATACATAAACTTGTAGTATTTTTCGTACATTTATTTTTGTAACATATTTATGTATATGTACTCATCTTGTAGATGGTAAATAAAATAACATAACATAACATAAAAGGGCCCAAACTGAGAATATGATGTCTTCTGGGAAATATCTATCATGTTTTTTCCTTTGACGATTGTGCATGTATAATAAAAGATTGAGAAATCAAATTTGAGATGCCCAGAAAGTAGGCACAGATAATCGAATCAAAGAACTGAATCAGTTGTAGATTGCCTTTAGTAAAATAAAAGTATTTGAGCTATTAGTGTAGTCTGATAGAGACTCTTTAAGCTAATCTACTATATTGAATGGTGTTTTTGAGTTTTCATACTTTAACTATTTGGTAGCTTTATAAATAATTTCAGGGTACTTTGTTGTAAAAGCCTTTGTTATTGTCAATTGTGGTTATATGTGATAATTTTGTAAAAAGAAATCAGCAAAAACTCATAATCACTTTTTTATTGTCGGCCATTTTGGATTTTTCTGTCCTAAAATCTTGTTTGTAAAGTCTTGTCTACACGTTTTCAGGTGAACCGTTTGGTAGATCAATTCCAAATTTTCAGGGATGATTCTTAGTATGAAAATCTAGATCCGATTAGTTTTTTGGCATTCTGGATAAATGTCAAGGCGGCCATTTTGGATTTTCTGTCCTAAAATCTTGTCGATGAAGTCTTGTCTATGCATTTGCAGGTGAACCGTTTGGTAGATCAATTTCAAATTTTCAGGGATGATTCTTAGTATGAAAATCTAGATCTGGTTAGTTTTTTGGAATTCTGGATAAATGTCAAGGCGGCCATTTTGGATTTTCCGTCTTAAAATCTTGTCTGTAAAGTTTTGTCTATGCATTTCCAGGTGAAGCCTTTGGTAGATCAATTTCATATTTTCAGGGATGATTCTTTGTATGAAAATCAAGATCTGATTCGTTTTTTGGCATTCTGGGTAAATGTCAAGGAAGCCATTTTGGATTTTCCGTCCTAAAATCTTGTCTGTAAAGTCTTGTCTACGCGTTTTCAGTCGAACCGTTTGGTAGATCAATTAAAAATTTTCAGGGATGATTCTTTGTATGAAAATCTAGATCTCATTAGTTTTTCGTCATTCTGGGTAAATGTCAAGGCAGCCATTTTGGATTTTCCATTCTAAAATCTTGTCAGTAAAGTCTTGTCTACGCATTTTCAGGTGAACTGTTTGGTAGATCAATTTCAAATTTTCAGGGTTGATTCTTAGTATGAAAATCTAGAACTGATTAGTTTTTTGACATTCTGGGTAAATGTAAAATCTTGTCTCGTCTGTAAAGTCTTGTTTACGCATTTTCTGGTTAACCATTTGACGGATCAATTTCAAATTTTCAGGGGTGGTTTTTAGTATGAAAATCTAGAACTAACTAATTTTATGGCATTTTGGGGGCCCATTTTGGATTTCCCGTCCTCAAATTGTGTCAGTAAAGTCTTGTCTACTCATTTTCGGGATAACCATTTGATAGGATCACCCATTGGTAGGGACATTTTGTACACATTTGTGTTCTTGTTTTCTAATGTGATAACCTTGAGCCTGTAAACATATCTATTACTGTTTTAAATTAATCTTTGGTGTATATGTTGTGAAGTTAGGTCAGGTGATATTTTTATTTGCAGTAGGGCTTTAATATATGATTTGGGTAATATATGACTCAAGGTGGTTTTGTACAGTTTTGTCAAAATTCCACAAAGCTACACAATCTGCAATTTAACTTCTTACAGTATATTTATTTAGATGTATATTATTAACCAGCTCCGGTGACTTATCTCTCATGAA